CTATGAAATGCCTTAAACAACTTAAAGACTGCCATTTAGAAATGCTTGAATGATTCAAGGTTAATAAGATTCATCATACTCACAGTGAGGATCTGGTTGTGGACATAGCTAATTGCTAAATTTTATTCATCCCTAAATGGTACTGGCAACAAATCAGCTCACAGCTTAATACTACTGGCAACTCTAAATGGGACAGAAATAATGTGACTTTGATTCAGTTATTTTTATACGTGTTATGATTCATTTCCTGTAGTTCTAATACTGATGCTCAAATACTGGATATTGGATTCTCTTGTCAAACAACAAAAAGGTAAGAAACAAAGCTGAAGATATTTTTAAATGTCATGGTAACAAGTCACAGTCAAATCTTGTTTCAGTGAACATTTCTAATTCTCACACAAAAGATATGATAAATTCCTATCAGAAAGATTTTCTTCTAGCAAATTTAGAATTCTGAAAATAGTCTTTTAATGGCAGGAACCATACCCTCCTAGCACCAACATAACAGTACTATGATGTATTATTCCCTTATGGTAACAGACACCATTGAAGCTGAACTGTAATTTGGCACACAACAATTCTGTAGTAATGTAATGTGACAATGTTATTATGCTCACTATTTTCCATGTGATCATAGCCTTATTCATCTTCTCCAACCTGACATTAAATTAGCTAATATAATTACATTCTATTCTGTACGACAGGGTGAAAGCAGAAAAAGGATTACTGTACAGCACAATGGTTTGATGAAGGGGTGTGTGTGTGTGTGTGCACACACGCATGTGCAAGCATGAATAAGTGATATGTTGATTTTTATACAGTGAATGTAAACTCTTAGCACAGGCGTGGCACATAGCAAGCACTAAGTAAGTGGTTATACCCAAGAAAAAGTTCACAAAAAGCTACAATATATGGTATGTTAAAAAGACCTTTACTCTAAGATTTCAGAAGAGGGGAAAGCTAAGGCCCAGCTCCCAGGACTAGAGAAGTTTCCATGGGACGAAACAGTTAAGTAGAGATTGAAAATGAAATTACATTTCATCAAACAGATATAGTGAAAGGAATTCATTCCAGGTGGAATGAGAGCATTCCCCAGGAGAATAGATTAGCATAAGCAATGGTGAGGAAATTGGGAAAGTATAATGTTGTTCAGAAAGCCTTAAGTAAGTTAATTGGCACTAAGATGCCATATGGACAAGGTTCTGCAACAGATAAGGATGAAAATGAAAGCTAGGGTCAGACCACAGAGGTTCATGAACTCCAAACTGATGAATTTGGAGAGTATTGTTAACCACTGAAGATGTACTAGAAACCCTTATGCAAGATTCATGCATCTAGTTAGCATGGATTTAGTAAGTCACTATTATTACCAATTATATGTATCATGATGGGCAAAACACTGGGCTTATCAGACAAAAAAAAATATTGCCTGGGAGAAGCATATAGTCTTAAGTTTTACAGGTAGATAAGACCAAACCTAAATAATGACGGCTGATAAAACAGCATCAACAAAGTTCTACAGCAGTCATTGGAGGAAAAATACTGCCTATGGTTAGGACAACCAGGAAGAGCTGGTGATATTTAAACTAGGGAGAATAGGAAGAAACAACAAAACCGGTAAGGAGGCCTAGGACAGATTAGAGGAGAAAGGGATAAGAAATGGGAAACTTAACCAGGAAATGACTACAATAAGCACCACCCCCAAATAATATTAGGGACCTAAAATATAGTCATGGTATGGAAGAATCACACATACACACAGCACTTGCTTTTCTCAGTGAGTAGGTCATTTACATGGCAATTTTCTAGGGGGTAAAAGGGTTTCACAAGCACTTTTCTTTAAAAGTAGCCTTTGGCATCATTTTGCATAAGTGCCTCTTTTTTGAAAGATTCCTTTAAGTGTATTAATTAGTATGATTTACCCAAGATTATACTTACAAGCTAAAAAGTATTCCCATCTTCTCATTGTTAATTATATCTCCAGGCTAACATAAATAAACTTTTCTAGTTACTCTAACCCACTCTGGGAAATTTATCAGAGAGATGATATTCCGAAGGTCTATTTCAGAGAGAATGTGTCTTATTTGCAATGTGGTGTGTTCTTTCCTCTTTTAAAATACTTTATTTCATTTTCCTTTGTTTGTTTGTTTTGTTTTCTATGCAGTTGAAGACTGCTGTCACAGAATTTATGGATAAATACCTAAGCTACAGATGGAAATTTCATTAAGAAATGAACTGTCCTAAATGGCTTCATTAAAAAAAAAAAGTCAACCTCTATATAGAAAAGAAGTTTGTGAAAATCCCAGGAATCACATTATTTCTCTTTGTGCAACTCAGAAAAATAGGGAGATGCAGAAAAATAAAGCTTATTTTAATGAATTTAACAACTGAAGAAAATACGGCATCCTATTCTTATTGCCATATCAATGGCATGTCTTCAAGGTATTAAAAAAAAAAAAAAGAAAGAAAGAAAGAAAGAAAGAAAGAAAAAGACAACAGGCCCAGAATGGAGTCATTTATGCTAAGCCCCATGTCTCCAAACCAAGACTTAATTTAATTACAGTTTTGGCTCTCCCATAAACCAGTCAATCAGGAATCTCCCGATCAGCAATAGTTAAGTAACCTGCCTCACAGACCCCTGCCATACCCTAAAGCAAAGTAACTTTTCAGTAACCAGCCTGCTTTTTTTTTGTATAGTATAGCTTCCTTGTCCCTGCCCCCTTCTGCCTATAATTCTTTCATTTCGTACAGCTCCTTGGAACTTCTTTATATCAGCTAGATTGGATGCTACCCGATTTGAATCAGTTTTTGCCCAAATAAACTCTTAAAATTTTTTAATATGCTTCAGTTTACCTTTTAACAAAGGTAACAGTCACTGTTGCACTTTCTACAAATTAAAGTTGATATGAAAATAAGATTTGCTTTGAAATACTGATTTATACCTACATATCCTTACCACCAAAACTCCATGCACAAACCAAGAAACCATTTCCCACTTCCAGAAAACCCATTAAGAGGTAATGATTTAATCAAAATGTATGTATTCTGAGAGCCCTCCAAAGTAATTTTAATGCTGATTTGTGCAAGAGGCATATCAGGAGACACATTTATTGAATGACATTTACCTTATTTACAAGAAAATAACAAATAGCCTTATCATTATCATCACCACTACTATCACCCAAGAACAGCATTCAAATAATTTTCTGTAAAAATGATGTGAAGACAGCATGATACTTAAGGTAGGATCTTGATGTTCCGTTAGGAGATGTCTAGTAAATACGCACAGAAAATTATATTCTTCAAACTCAACTGGTATATGAGAATACACAATCTGACACAACCAAATGGCAACTATTTTATAAAACATGGAAACTTAGATTAAGCAAAGTTTGGCAGAGAAATTTCTTTAGCAAAATGGAAAATATTTTCATGCAATAAAAACTCTCTCAGCTACCACATGTAGTTATACATCTGTCAGGATCATATTCAGGATTAAAAATTTACCATAATAAAATCATAACAAATTATCAGTCTTCTGGTTGTCCTTGAAAATAAATTTATGTTATTTTCCATGGGGCAGGAAGTTACTATTCAGGATATATATGTACATATATTAAAAGCATATATAAGGTTTTTTTATTTTTTTTGCTTTAGGTACATGGAAGTACATAAAGTATTTACTGAGCCTTCATTTAAGATTATTTATAGAACTCCAACTGGGGTTATTGTTTGTGCAAATGTATGATGGTTTGAATACATGTTCATGCTTCAAGTTTGCTGTAATTCTATGGAAGATGTTGCTGGTAGGATGGAGACAAAATATTTCACCATCTGTGGTAGTGTGATTTTTACTGGTCTCTTCCAATATTTTACTTTGTAATAATTGCTCGTTATACCTGTATTCAATGTTTTGGAAGAGAAATTCTGAAAATAGCTAGTGAGTTGTACCATATTCCTAAACTCAGTTCAATTAGAATATTTTAGTTTGATCTCATCTTCAACATTGCCATACACATACGTACTGGAGTAAATAGAGTCTCAAACAGACAAAGGTCAAAGTGAACAAACTCTAATCTTCCTTTTAATCCATACTCAAGCCCAGCCTTTGTCCCAAAGCCCAAAACTTCAATCACTGGATCCTCCATCCTAGAGCTTTTCCTTAAATGTTGTACCATTTATAATATAAATTATGCACTGTGTTTCACAAGCAGGAAGCTTTGTCAGAAAAATGTTCTTAATATAGTGGAATTTGTTGTTTTGTAGAAAATGCTTTTACCATGCTGATGCATTGCTGTAAAGCATGATCTATTTGAAAGTTAAGAAACAGGACTTTATCTTATATACCAGTTAATTCAGTCTTAAAATTCTCACTGCTACCATATAGATTAGGCACTAACAGATATTCCATGACATAATATGAATGCTGTGTTTCTGAGTCATGCTTATATTGTGAGACTAAAGGGAAAAAAAAAATCTACAAGCGGCTAGAATATAAGAGAAAGTACTTGAAGGACAAAGTTTAAACATTGTTTTTTTAAAGCAAAAGGCAGATATGGGTTTAAAAAGATATAGAAAGAGAGGCATAATGAGACATGTCACCTTTCACGAAAATTACAGCCCTCAACATATAATCTTCTGGAATTAAATATTATTTAATAGAAAGCAATAAGAAATCTCTTTTGAAAACCAGGGGAGGATTGTCATATGTAGGAAATGAAAAAAGATATTTTCAACAAGGTGACCATTAGCAATTCAAAAAATTACAGTCAACAGTTGCAAACCAAAGGCTCACCATCATCACAGGATTTAGCTAATGGCATCCTTGATTAATCCTTTAGTATTTCAAAAATGCCCTTTCTGTAGAAATAACTGCTTCTTCTCACTATGACATTTTAACTTACAGATAATACAAAGACTCCCAGTTTTAGACTCTGGGCATCACACAGTAACTGGAAGCAATGATGACCATCTGAGTCCTTACTCAGAGAGGCACTTACGGTCATTGCAGAGTGGCCCACTGAAGGAAGTCATGCTACAGTCACAGCTGAAGCCATCCCATTGCTGTAAGCACACGCCTTGATTAGAACAGGAGTCCTCTTGACAGGTTGTGCTGGGTCCTGCAAAAATAACCCAAAAGAAACTTGGGTTCTTTAAAAAAAAAAAAACTACAAGTGTTTTGTACATGAGCTAGGTCACATATAGTAGTTGCCAACATCTCAAATTACATGTCCAAACCAGTGTTGAAAGTTCTAGTTCACACACCTGAATTAGCAACAGAGAAGCTGTAATAGGAAGGTTTTCTGAAGTTTCAAATATAGGACAGAATACATTATAATAGTAAACAACAAATAGTAAAAGCAAGCACAGAGCTTCTAGTATGATCATGGTAGCAAGTAATCTCATTCCATCATCAGTAATTCTCTATCACCATTTGGATTTTAGAAAAATGCATGGATCTCCTTAACTTCTGACCAATGAACAGAGACACCATGAGAATGGAGATTAGAGCTTCATGAAATTGAGATAAAGATTGGCAAAGTAACTGAAAAGAGTTATGCAAAAATACCCTAGAAGTTTCCAGAAGTTTCCCTGCACAAACTATGGATAAAGTTATGGTTGTTGGGTGTTTTAGATAGGTATGTTGGCAAGTATCAATTCACATGCTTTAACAATTCATGCAGTTAAACATAAAATGAAAAAGTCTGTATAAATGACATGCCCCATTTAACACACGAGTAAAAAGAATTCTAGTCTATTTCTAAAGAATAACTAGAACACTGAGAAAGAACTAAAAAAAAAAAAAAAGATGATCAAAGCACTAGAGGCAATCACTATACAAACATATTCAAGACTGAAAGCCTTTATGCAAACTATGCTATAAAATGAGGTTTCTTGCACAATGTTCAAGAAGGGGAAAAATTAAATCTGAACCCAAACAACAGTTACTGCAAAAATGTAAAAGAAAATGTTATTTTGGGGTTTCCACTGTGTATTAGGGGGTTTCAGTCTTGTTTTTTACACACAGGGCTATCTACCTTGCAAGTCAGCTTTCATCAATGCAACTTTGTCAGCAAAATAAAAAAAAAAAAAAGCAAAATATATTAAATGTTAGTAAGCAATACCAAAATGGGGCAAACAGAAGAACGTTCAGATTCAAAAAGCATGCTGTTGTAAAGGGGGGAGAAAAAAATGCTATGTAGAGCAAACAAATTAATACTAACAGCCATAAATCTTAAGAGAAGCCAAAAATGAGAAAGCGGTAATTTACTAGAATTTTACTATATGTGTGTGTGTGTGTGTGTGTGTGTGTGTGTGTGTGTGTGTATAATGATTAATTGAGCCGATGACATGTAATGGAAGAAATCAAAAGAGCTTTTGTATTTTTTCCTCTCTTGGATACATATGAATGCATTACCAAAGTGATCACATTGCTTATTTGGAGCATGTGACACCATTTGTCATGTGCACATACAGTGTAGACCATGGTCATTAGCAGACCAATGATCCCTTTCCATTTCTCTTTCCCTCTACATCTTTTTATCTTGCTATTGCAATTAAGGCTTGAAACTGTGATGCCAGCCATTCACTGCCAACAGCTGGACTTGAGAGTGACACCAAACTATCAAAATGTACTATATATATCATTCAGGGCAGATGAGACAAGTAAGGGATGGAAGAAGCAGACTGCAATACCATTCCACTTAAAAAAAAAAACAAATCCCTCTACAAACTTTCAGTGTGGAATGTTTATCTTTGTTCTTACCAGGCTGGGCCTATACCACTTAAGAGTTTCAGAGTTTTGTCAGCATCTTCCCCACCTTCAGAATTCCCTTCAACTCTTCTAAACTGCCCTGTGAATATTTATTACAATAGAACTTCACTAATAAGGACTATCTTAGGGAAGGTTTAAAAGGGAAAGCCCTCCATCTAAATAGTTTTAGAGTAGAACACTGAAGATATTTCCTAGTCAACACAACTTTATAGGTTTTACAGAAATATAAAAATGATACTGGCCCAATTAGATTCTATTAACACTGAGAGCCTGTGAGGTAACTGCTTTAGTGAATAAATGAGAACTACCTGTAACTAGCCTTTGTGTAAACTGACATTTTCGTAAAATGTCTTTTTAAACATGCTTGCTACAACGGTATTTCTATTACAATTTTCTCAGTAAAGGTATTCCTCATAGAAAGTTATTGAATTTAGCCTAACCTATGTGAGTTTTCACAAATTGAGAAACCATAACATTGTAAGAACTAATTATGTAATAACAGCAATAATAGGTATACTAATGGCAATGACGATAATGGTTGTTATTATTAATAATAATTTCCCAGGCCTGGAAGCCCTGAATGGAGGCCACCGTTTTCCTCACCTATCTCACCAAAGAACTAAGAACCACTAAGCTGCTTAGTTTTGGCGGTTCCTCCAATCTGTGAGAGGTAAGTGGTCTAAGGATCTTTATCCCATGACATTAGAGACTGAAAATAATTATTGTTTGGAAAAACAAAACAAAACAACAAACAACTCTTAAAGCAATACTCCTTTGCACATTCTCTCCTGAGACAAGCAGAGGAGCAGGGAATGGTGCACGCCCCGTGTGGGTCGGGGGCTGGTTATCAATCCGAGGCTGCTCCCTTACTTGCCCAGAAGGTAAGAGCAGGAACAGGAACAGATGAAGAGCCAGATTATCGTTTTTACTTTTATTTCTGTAAAAATTATCAGAGACACAATTGCAACATATACTAAATTCTAAAAATGGTAGAACTACAATCCTGAAGATGAACGTGCCCATATGCTAGAGCAGCAACTCAGAGTACCTGCCAAACCTTTATGTGAGCATAAAGACATGCTTTATTATTATTATCTTTTCATTATCACAACAGTCTTTTTATATTCATGTATTACAAGAGAATGTATGCCAATGCCTGACGAGACACATTTTTCAAAATACTCACCTTCTAAGAACAACATTTAAACATTGACAGGCATTTGCGCAAGACAAAGCCCTGAATTTATTTTCCCTTTAGTTATGTAATGTTCTTTTATTTTATCACTGAATAAAATTGGGAACAAACCACAAGGACATTTGTATTAAGTGGTTAAGTATATGGATATGTCTGAAAAAGAAAAGAAGTGAAGGTAAAACTAAAATCTCTGGAAACCAAAGAAGCAAGAGAGGAAAGTGTTTTGATGCCTGGACTTTCAAGTATGGTAAACTTGGGTTCAAAGCTTCCATCATCCATGTACGAGCTGTGTGACCTTAGGAAGGTCACCTTACATCTCTGAGGCTCAATTTACTCATCTAAAAAAAGTCAGCACTACCAATTTACAGAGTTTTGAGGATTCAATGAAAAAGCATATGTAAACTTATTGTCACCAGTGCTAAATCAATGGTAGCTTTAATAATTAAGTATTTCTGTAACTTATTATAATAGTTCTGGGGCTGAATAGTAGGAAACTATGCAAAGAGTGTCTGAATTAATTTTTCCCCTTGAATTTATGTACGAAAGTTATCTTGACTCGGTATTGAGCTTAACTAAGCCTGATTACTGGTGGATTACCAGTCTCTATTTTCTCTTACTCAAGCAGGAAAATGCTACCCTATCAGTGATTTTCAAAATGTGGCCCTTGAAAAAATAGTAACAGCATCATTGTAAGAACATGTTAAAAACATAAATTTTAGGGTCCTGCTGAAGTAGCCGCCCTGGGGGTAGTGTTCTGTAATTTGGGTTTTGACAATCCTCCAGGGGATTCTGATACTGGTTCAAGTTTGTAGAAACATTCATCTGAAGGGACTTGGACAAGGCAAGCTTCCTCCCCTCGCTAGTGTGTTATAAGCAGCTATTAGCCAATGCAAATTAGTTAAAAATGGAAGGCAGCAAGTGGTTATTAGGAAAGACCACAAACTTTTTACATGAAAGGGGCTTGGAGATTCATGGGTCTTGTTGGATAGGAATGAGGGAAAATCTTGAAAGATATCATTTGGTTTTTGTCACATTTATAGTATTTCTAGTAATATAAAAGGTGATTCCAATGTGATTTGGATTTAAAACTCCATGAGACAACTATCTTTAGAGAGAGAATTGATCAATCGTCTAGAATTTGATCATTAATCCTAAAAACATATGTACCTCATCAATTACACCTATGACAGGTATAACTGAGATTATTCTTAGGAATTGTAGAGGACAGAAATAATCATAAATTAAAAGTTGTTAATCTTGATGTTGGAATGGAAAAATCAGGGAAGTGTCAATGCAGAAAGGCAGGGACATGGTAACATTCTAAGAATAAAAAAAAGGGGGTTAAAAAGAGCTAAGAATTATTAAAACTCAGATATTAAAACATCCTAGATAAGGTAAGGAAGGAACCAAGGTCATAACCTACTGAACGATTTCAAATGTTCAAATAGTAGTTTGTTACCCAAGAGGATGTATAATCATCTTAACCAAGATGCTTAATAAATTATGTTAGAAAATAAAACCAAGTATCATTTCTGCAAATATTCTTTTCTTAGTACAGCTTCCTTTCGTTAGTTTTCCCTTCTACCCACCCACACACATCACCTATGTGCCCGTGGTGGGGGGTCATGTGTGTGCGTTTGGTTTTCCATCTTGTGGGTGTTTAGCTGTGAACATGTCTGTCTGCTCCTAACATCTCCTTGTAGGTGAGAAGTCATTTACCAAGCAACTTGTAAAAAGGCCTTTTTTTAAAAAAAAAAAAAAATACTGTCAGGAGTTTGTAGTATTTTTTTCCCTTTTTTTAATGTACATATTCTCACTGGTTAGATCATCTCCAAAAATCCAAGTTATGAACCACATTCTTATATCCACGCAGTAGAAGGGATTATTCACTTAATGATCGTGTTTCCTTTGGTAAACGGAGAAAACAGTTTCTCTTTGTTTTACAAGTGTTATACCAAAATTGAAATAAAGAAAATAAATATAGCAATAACATTAAAAAAATTCAACAGAGGCTTCTATTAAATAGCATTATCTTCTGGCAGGATTAAAACACAGTTTGAATTTCACCTGACTTTTCAGAGGAATATATATCACCAAGAGAAAAAAAAAATGTATTTTCAAATAAAAAAACCCTCCACATACTTAGGTAATTGCTAAATCTAATGGCATTATTTTGGCCAAGAAGAGATGATTCATAATCTCCTGGGGGATAGGAATTCGCATGTCTTTCTTTGCCTCTCCCATATGAAATTTCCTTATGAATCTAAAATTTTCAAAATAACCCAAACTGTTTTCAACATTAAAGGAGAAGCAGCAACACATTCAGAGCCCCCAACTTCAGGATAATGTGATTAAATTACATTTCTGGAGGGAGAATTGGCTCAAATAATCTGAGGTGTTGAAATGAAAATTATCTAAAATGAAAGTAGCAATCAAAAAGTACTCCTACAGATCTTAGTCTGATAGAGAGCACAAAAGAACAGAAAGATACTTGAGCACATTTCTCAAATAAGGAATATTAGTCTTGGGTAATAGAAGAAACCAATTTTTGCTAAAACAAACTGACAATATACAGAAGAAACTTGTGCCAGGTAGATAAAAACCAAATAGTGATGTGACAATGCGTAACTTTACTTTATTGTCCTGTTATATCTTGCTGAATGTAGATGTGAAACAAACAGTATCAAATTGATTGACACTTACTGGAGCAAATCTACTTTTTAAGTCCAGAGAGGGTACCTATTTAATGTTATAAAGCAGGCATTGCAGAACTGATTAATACACTAATTAGGCAGACTATAGAATACAAAGGAGCAGAAAATAACAAAATCCATACACAGAGCCCCCATCTTACATAAGGCCTTATTGTAGGTTTGCAAACAGTCCAGAAAATTTAGGATTTATGGGATGAAAAGTGAAAAACACAAATAAGGATTTCTAAGCCCTATGTTGGGGCTTGAACAGTAGGCAGAAATAAATTTTGCTGACTGGAGAGATTTGTTCTTATTTATGGGTGGAATTAGAATTACTTAAAGTTTGATTAACAAAGATCTAGTACCTTCACATCCTCTCTCAATCTGTCCATTGCAGAAAAGAGCATCTGAGATGAGGTCTGGAAGTCGTCCATTTAAATCAACTGATGCCAAGCAGCCTTGAAAGCCCTCCTTGGCATGGACAAGTTTCGGCAAAGATTTGTATGTTTCTTTAGCCACTCCTCCTATATACAAGTCACCTGTGGGAAGATCAAAGTTTTGGTCACAAAAGTAACTTGTCATTCCTTTAAACATATAGTAGGTCAGAAAAAAAAAAAAAAACAGTTTGGTTTATATTTCATTAAATTAATTTTAAAAAGTCAACTTATAATTAGATATCTTCCTATAAGTGTAAAACACAGAAGTGTTTGGGTAATATATCAGCACTCAAAGACATTTCTAGAAGCTATTTCCACAGAGAATTGAATAAGCTCAATACAGGGTAGCCAAGTGAAAGGAATATGGGCCATGGAGTTGCATATCCTTGCACTGAAATCCAAGCCTGGTTATTTACCAACTCTACGGCTTTTAACTTTTTTTTTTTTTCAGTTTCTTTGATCATTAGAAATCTCATTTCTAAAATACGAATGATAAAATCTGTTCTATAGGTTTTCATGAGAATTAAATGAGATAAAATAAATATAGGAAGTTATCCACTACAGTAAAATAGGAAGCAGATACTCAGTCAACCTTCTGCTTAGAGAACTCTGGGTCTTTCAGTTCATCAGAAGCTCAACAAATTCTCTCTAGGTCCCACAATTATCTTTTATATTAGGCTTAAGACCATTATCCTTACTTGTACTTATCGTATTCACTAACTGACTCCCATAATAGTCTGCACATATCTGAATAGTACATCCTTTTTCAGATTTTGTTTTATGCCACTGAATTCTTTATGCTGCTCTGGGATCTGTTAACAAGTTATTATTTTTTTTTCTAATTTTATTGCAGTTTCTAATGGAACACTTTGCTCTGCTTTGTCATTTCATGTCTCTAGGTGTGAGATTTCCCAACTTCATGGACCACTACTTAAAAGAAATATTGCAATCCATGTTTGATTATGTTTCATTTCCTATCAAAGATTATTTGCCATATCTGTATGGCACTGAGTAGATGTAATTCACTGACTTTAGTAAACAATCAATGCAGAAGATATAGAGGGTGACCCCCACATTCCATAATATATGTTCCTGTTTAAAAGCTCTGCTAACATACTCTATTGAGCTATCTACTTTTCTGACCTTTCATTGTCAGTTGAATTTTCTCTCTCATTTCAACCATCCTAACTTTCATACCACCTGATACCTTTTCCCCAATGTAACACAAAACTCCTACATTCCTAATGTTTCTCTGGGTCCCTCTGTGTTGTCTTCATGGGACTTGGGATAAAGGAGAACTGATACCCAAGTGAATGCTCATCCTGTTTGTTGAATCATGAGTAATAAAGTTCTTGGTCTCTGACCCAGAAAGCTTCTGTCTTCTGCCAGCATCTGTGAAACAGTGATAAGCTAACCTAGTAGATTTTAAGTAGGCTGAAATCAAACCACAGATACAACAGTCCTGAATTGTACTGAGTAAAGTGAGTTGCTTAAAGTCATTTAGCCCTAGAAACCGAGAACTTAGGTCTCTGACCTATTAACTAAAGCTCTAGATATTACACTAGGATGCCACTGATCCTGCATAATTTGTATGGAAGGGACTGAATGTGTTTACTTCCCCTCTTAAATAAAACATCTTTGACTACTAACTATATTCTTAATATTAAAGAATAGGATGGTTTATATCTGAGATGGGATACTATTTTTGAAATATCTTGTTTTTTTCACCCTATTTCCTTTTTCTCCATGGTCTTTTCCCCTCATTTAAATTTAAAGTCATTGTGTTTTCATTATCTCAGAGAAAGGATAAAAATCAAAAACCAAAGATACCAAATTACCTTTCTGCATTTAAGTCTTAAAAGCCAAGACTCTTAAAGAAATGAAAGAGATAGAATATACAGGCAACTACATGAGAAGAATAAATCTTTCCTGCCCCTCATGAGGCAAGCAGGAGAGAAAACTGGAAGAAAAGAAACGTGAGCATCGTTATCGATGAATACCAAAAAGCAGACACCGTGCTCTAATTTGAGGGCTGAGCCCCGGTGGAGGTCAAAACTTTAGGTAAGTTTAGAGAATGACACTGATTAGTGTGCACTTCCTCAAGAGAACCCAGAGGCAACAGTGAAATCCTTGGGAAAACATGAGTGCCTGGTAGATTTAGACATGCTAGGAACTTAGCCTCACAGAACTTCCCATTTTCCAGCTGTGGTATGGGAGCACCACAATTCCCAGAGTTTCACAGAAATAAACAGAAAAAGAATGACTTAATGGGTCATGCACACGAGAATGATGATGCTGGCAATTTAGTGGGCACTTAAGTTATGAATATAGAATACTAGAGACCAGCTCCTGTGTAATCTCCCCAAAGATTGGTACAGTGAAGTCGCCCCCCCCCCAAATAATTTAGACGCAATCTCAGGGAAATAAGGAAGCTAAAATTGCCTGAGATTACATTTTCACTAACTCAAAGAATCAGAACTCAAACTGGAAACCAAGATGAGTTATAGAAAAATAGAGAGTTACCTTTCTTGCACAGCTGAGATTCTGGGCAGAGATTTACACTGTTACACATCACACATCAATGTAAGGAGAGGCTCCCTCCATTCATTTGTTGAACTGAATTTGTTAGAAAATTTCAGCTCTCCTCCAGGCCTAATGGATGTTGTGTTAGAGAACAGAGGGGAGTTAAGTGAAGAATTCTCGGCACTGCTTCGGGCTTTTTGGAGGTAGAACTCATACTGAAAGTTATGTATGGGACACTACATGTTTGCTAACCATCCTTCCTCTTTCCAATTGTAACCTCCTGGAAGAGACAGACTGTGTCTCTCTTTGTTTCACATTTTCCCCCAGTGCCTCATACTGGGGGACAAGCACAATGGGCACTCAATACACACTGTCAGCCACCTGATGGACTGAGGTCACAGTAGAAAGGAATCAAGAAAGGAAGAATGCTAAGGCAACACGCGGTGAGAGCTAATTCTAAAAAGCTTCCTTCCTTCCTTTCCCCGCTTCCTGCAACAATCCTGTTTTTTTCCTCTTGGCAAACATATGCGCCCGAACAACTTTTCAGAGATTACTGAAAAGAAGTAGTAATCTTTCCCTTGTGTTATTAAAGAGTAGAAAATATTGATACAAGTAGTGCAGGATACAAGCCTCAATCCTACACTAAGGTGGATGAGAGTGTGATTTATAAGTAGGGAATGCTTCTCGTTTTCATTACTGAGGCTGCACTTAGCACCACCACTTAATACTGTCTTTATAAACTCTTCGTATAGTAGATGGTGGTCTGAAGTCCCCTGGTGGGTTGGCCTATGAAGAGAGCAAAGGAAACCCTTAAGTGGCCTGAGCCCCATGCAGCATTAGCCCTTCATCAAAGATGCAGCTTCTCTTTTTGATCCTGGAGGTGATGCAAGTTAAAATGACCCATTAGCACTAATGGGATCTTGCAGGCAAAATCCTGTACATGGAAAGGAGGATATACTATCTAATGACCTTATGTGTGAACAAAAGCCAGGATGGATATCTAATAAGAGACAGGTTCCTACAGACTTGAAGCCAGTCTGTTACTCCTTCTCCAAGCTGATGAAGGGCTGATTTTTATTCCTATCCTTTAAGTAGACCCTGCATGAATTGATGAGGCAATGATGGAATTGGGGCATTTTTAGCAGGAGATGCTGAGAACATGCATAAACCCAGATAACCTCAAGCCTTTGGAAAGTTTTTTTTTTTTTTTTAAGAAATCTCAGAATACCCTTATCTTTAGACTAGTGCAGCATATATACACACTCTCAAGACTGTTATCTGTAGAAGGATCTGAGGTGATAACACAGGTATCCACACTCCAGCGTTGCGTAGTAATGAGGAGGGAATCGTGCACAGGCTTTTCACTTATAAGTGGCTATAAACTTCGGCCCTGCCACTTACTGGTTGTCTTAGCGCAGGCACATTAAGTTATGTAACTTCTTTCAGAGTCAGATTCTTCATATGTGAAACGCCTACCTCGCAAGGTTGTGGGGATTACAGAGAAGGTATGCAAGTGCCGGGTAGAGAGCATGCACTCAGCACACGGGGTTACTGGTGTGACTGTGTTGATATGTCTGTGAGGACTGTACATCTATAGTGTAGCTCATTCTAGGTTGAAAGTAGTGAAAGATACAGAAGAATGAGAAGTCTAGGCTGTCTCCTTGTTTCTAGTATAAATGGAACGACAAGATGTCAAATTTACATCTTATTTGACTTTAGTTTACAGTCACGTGTATACTTGACGTATGACTTGCCCTATGCTGTAAGAAGCTCAAGAGGCTCCTTGGACGTTTTCTGTTACAAACCCAGCTGCACTGGACCTGGTAACAACAAAAGGACAATGATTTGATAAATATCTTCTAATCTGATGTAAACAGATTAGGAAACACAAGAATTCTATAAAGCCCAAGGGCCAGGTCAAAAGATTCCAGCTAAATGTGCCTTATAAAATCAGAAAAATAAAAGGCTTGTGTGAACTTTGATTATAACATGGAGCATGATGGAAGAGTTTAGACCAGAAGAAAGTATAGGATATATTACTCTGTAATAGCATAAATGTAGTGCCAGCCCTGGAGAAGACAACAGATAAAATAAATACAGCATTCAAGGAAGTATAAAAGGCCAGACTTGGCTGGAAGGCAATGATAAATAATGTTGGATCAGTTAAGTCAAAGTCTATTGAATAACACAACAGAATTTATGACTATTGGTTTAAAAAAAAAAAGACAATGAGAAATCCAAAAATATAAGTCTAGGAGACAACAGAATTTGAAGCAGTGATAATTTGGACAGAAGCGAGGGAACAGTATTTAACACTAAACATGTGGAATCTGAGTAGGAGGGATCAGATGATATGAACCAGGGTCTTTGGGAAGAGATGCTGAGACTGGAAGGTGTGGCTTGATAGCCATCAACCAAAAGCAGGTAAATGAAGTGGTGTAAGACTTTTTCTCTTTTGTTAAAACAGGGAGCATACGGCAATTAGAGCAAGGACTCCAAGCTCTGCCTACTAGCAGCAGAATGCAAGTATCAAGGTATAATTAGTTCTTTGACTCAGCTTTCCTGTTTATTCATATGAA